TTCAGAGGTCCGATATTGTTCTATGTACAATCCTTGTTTTATTGATTGTATGTAATATTCTAATTTTCTGAAATTGTGGATTTGGGGCTTTCACTTTTTAAGTTGCATTACTGAAATAAATGAACTTTTGCACGATATTCTAATTTTTCGAGTTTCACCTGTAGATACCAGAGAAAAGTATGGATTCTCCTAAAGCAAAAACATTGGTAAGATATATTAAATGCAGAAGCAATCTGCTCACAGATATCCACAGAAACACAAAAATCCTAGAGTTACTTGCACTGATCATTTGTAGCAAATGACTCATACAATAGCACTACAAAATCACAGATCCTAATTGTCAATACTAGTTATGTTGCATTACTGTGGAATATTTACTTTGTTGGTTTTCTCAACCCTCCCAAGAACTGCATTAAGACTGACAATGAGCAGTGCAATATTTCACAATCCAAACCTTAGCAAATAACGATCTCATATTATTCTGCCAGTTCCCTAAGGAACAGGGTGCGTGACAAAAAAACTCAACAGGCCAAAGGGAAGGTTTAAAGAGAGAAAGGGCACAAGGAGGCAGCTGCTAGGTAATTAATATGTCTGATGTAACTTTAAACTTTCTGCTTAAGGAATATCATAAGACACGATTCTATAACAGTATATGGGTAGATTTAGTTGTAAACATTTGAAAATATTTACTGTTATGAAATGCTGTCATGGACATGCCTCTTCTTTAATTCTGGATAATAAGAATTATAAGTCATTCATTATGAATCAAACATTGAAATAAACAGTGATACAGCAGCCATGCTAGTTAGTGATAAGTTTGAGTGCACAAGTATCTGGTCATACTCGTTATCCTGAACGCATGGAAAATACATATTCTCCTACTTGGCTTCCAAAAGACTGTAAGTATGATTTTGAACTTCACTGTAAGAATAACTTTTTTGTTAGCCTTTGAGTCAGTGTTGATTCCTGGTGAGTGCTTGGACAAGTCCCTGCAGTTTTCTTGGCAATGTTTCTTGGAAGTGATTTTTTTTTTAATTGAAAATTTAAAAAAAGCTTTTACAAATATTTACCTCCCCTCCCCCACCCTCCCCACCCAAACCCAACCCCCCCACCCTCCCCCCCCAGCTTCCCAGAGCAAATACAGGGTATAAATCTTTAACAAGCATATTCTACGATAAACTAAAAGAAAGTTAGCATCATCTTTCATTTGTGGTTTAACTCCTCTTTTGTTAGGCTAACTCTAAACACATCTCATTCCTCGCTTTTTTAGTCATAAACTATCTGGAATTTCTTAGTCCCGTATTTATTTTAAATGTAGTCAATCCATCTTCTCCAGTCCATTTTATATTTCTCATCTGAGTGATCCTTAAGATATGCTGATATTTTAGCCATCTCTGCTAAGTTTGTTACTTTTAACGTCCATTCTTGAATTGAATTGAATTTCTTGGAAGTGATTTGTTATTGCCTCCTTCCTAGGGCATAATATCTGTATATTAACACAGCCTCAGGGTTGAGGTTTCAACCATGGTTTCTCCAGCTCTCTGGGCTAACCATAAAGGAGGCCTATTCCCTACCTCTGTCTCTCTATATATATAAGTGTTATTGCTTTCTTACCACAATAGGGGCCACCGAGAATTCAGCACTTGGCATTTCTGTCCTTAGGTATTTACAGGTGAGTTGTCAATCCCACAACTTGCCTCCCCTAGGATATCCTATTGGAGCTGGCCCAGGATGCAAGCTGATTTGCTATGGTAATACAATTCCTTTGCATTATTGACCTCAGTTATTATTACCATGGTGACGGAAAATACAGCAACTCTTCCGTCAGCAACCCATAATTCCATCTGGGAAGCAACTTCAGTTTTCCAGCAAGGACAAGTCTTGGATCCTAGACAGGCATGAATATCCTAATCCATCATACTCATTGTCCATACTAGCTGGGGAACACAGGAATATAATACAACAGTTCCATGTGATAGTAAATTGGGTAAAGTTGTTCCAGATCAATGTAGTGACCTCAACAATAACAACATTTGTAAGTAGGTACATTTTCTTGATGGGTGCTCACACCTGTGAAATTATACCGTACTAGTGGAAACTTTTTACGCCTAAGAAATATGGTTTTCAGCATGTAACCAGAAGAAGAGTGATAAGGGCAGAAATAATTTATAATGTCAGTGGATTTTCATCTGCACGTCTTCAATTTTCAAATAATATTTAACATTTTATATTCTGATCTTAATCTGACTCCTAGGAATAAAAATTCAAATAAACTTTGGAAAATAATTAGAGAATAAGACCATTCTTATTATTCAGAATTTAATTTTATTATTAAAATAAAGTGTTATAAAATATAAACTAGGAACCTGAAATGAGATTCCAAAATCTAGGACTGCAATGGGTACATAAAACCTGTAATTTTTCAGGTATCAAACAGGCAAAACTTCACCTTAGAATCTTCAAAAAAAGGTAAACTTTAAAACAAAATGGGACAGAAAAAAGTGAGTTATCCTTGATCCTTGTTGTCATTTATAAAATATTTGTGTTTCCTGTTATGAAAACACTCATGGGTTGGGTTTCTTGCCTAGGAACTCCTTTGAATTACCTAATTCTAAAGAAGTATTAATTGATCAAGATATCATCTACACATTCTTTGTAATAGTTAACCCAAGACATACTTCCTTGTTCAGCAGCCAAATCTTCAACAGTTGTTCACATAAGAAATATGTAAGTGATTTTATCTTATCTTGAATTATAAGATCCTCCAATCATGCTAAGAAGCAATACAATAGTTTCTGTCAGAGACCTATCCGAAGGTAAAAAAATTACTTCAAAGATTTGTTGAAAGTCTACTTCTATATTATTCTGCCAAATGTATAGAAGTAATTTGCCACAAGGGTTTTTCATGATCCTTTTTGACTTAAATCTTTTGAATAAAAAAATTCCAAATTCTTACAAACAAAAATCCACCCTAGTTCACAAATATGTATCAGCTATTTTCATCACTTTCGTAGCCCAATCTACCTCACCTGCGGAGAAAATACTCAGGACTATTAGGTATGCTTACCCACTTTTGAATTATATATAAAAATGGTGGGATAATAATTAGGAAGGAAAATTTTGTTTTATCCTTTTTTTTTCTTAGAAAAACTGGATTCAGAAATCTTTCCCAATTTAAAATAGGTGGTAGTCATAACTCTGTCAGTTACCTGTTTCCAACTTAACAGGATCTACTCAACATCTGTCCTGACTCAGGATAGATTGAATGATCATATTGTCAACTGCTTCTTGCACTTATCCATTTCTTTCTACCTCAAGCATCTGCTGTGACCATTTCCCTCTGACTAATGGTGGGGCCTGCCATCTGTTCATTTACTTCTAATAACCCTAACCAAGTGTCCTCTACAGTAGTAAGTCAACAATGCCAAAAGAACTACTGTGTATTTAGCATATCCAAACTGGCAACCAGAAAAAGCACTCAATCTAGGAGAGAAAAAGACTCAAAGCCTTTTTTTAAAGCAGGAATTAACCTTTTTGTAATTTGTTCTCAAATGAACCAGTTCTTTCTCAAATGAAAGACCTCACTCACCCTTATGCCTGCAGATGATAAGCCCAAACCCAATATTATATATTAATGCGGGTTAGGTTACAGGGGGTAGGGGTGATTGATCCTTTTGAGTCCTGTTATTACACCACACAAGTCCCCAAGCTTATCCTTGGAAGTGAAAACAGTCACCAAAAGTAAGCTCAGAATGCAACTAATGACTACCAGCATCAGACAAGTATATGGATGTCCTCGGGGCTGGGGGGCGGGCTTTTTGTGGTACTACAAATTAAACCTTATACATTTTTTTGCCAGAGGAAAAGCAGCTCAGCAATGTTTGGCCTGCAAATGAGGTCTCTGCGGTGTAGAGAGAAAGTAGGGCACTTCTGCACACGATCGGGGGCTCCGCCACAATTACATAAGCTCTGACCATTCGCAACAGGTTTCAGGTCTGAAGTCCGGCGGTGGGGAGACCACCTGTGCCTTCCCCCCACCCCCTCTTCGCTCTCTCTTCTGCCCCACCGTGTCCCGACCCCAGCCACCAAACCCGCAAGCAGGCGCGCGAAGGAATTGGGGAAAGCCAGAAAGGACGCAACCAGACCGACCCTTCGCGATGCCTCCTCCGGGACCCCGTTCCTCCGATCCGGGCGCCGGCTCCACTGCACCGCCTGTTCCCGCCCGACCGAGAAGGGAAAGAGAGAGAAGGCGGGGGTGGTAGTGGTGGAAGGAGGAGTCAGCATCTCCCAGTGACCGGCACCTTTCCATCCAGCTGCAGCCGCCCACGGGCTCAGCAAAACGGAAGATGCGGGATCGTACGGCTCCTCCTCGGACAAGCAAGCGGGGAGGGTACCCGAGCCAGTCAGGGGGATCCTTTGTCCCCGCCGAAAATCAACAGGCTTTTCCCACCGAGGCCCGGCCGAGGCGGGGAATCTCAGATGAAAACTCCCGCGCTCTGTAGGCCCCGCTGCGGCCGCCGCTGCAACGCGAGGACCATTGCGGGAAGTCACCCGGCCGTTGGCCTAATACGCCAAGCTCTCTTCCACGGCGTGCCTTAAAAGCTTTCGCCTGCCTCCCCGGGCTGCAGGCGGAGCCCAGTCGGAGCGACTTGCTGGCTTACCTTACTTGCTTCTTTGCCAGCCCAGCAGCTTCTAGCTAACCTCGGTGATGCATTATTGTTTTTTTAGGAAACCGGGCCTCACGGGGCGAGCCCTGGAAGTCGCTCGCGGATGAACAACAGAGGAAGGAAGGGGGGCAAAGTTAGGGGGCTCTTGGCGGCCTTCCTTCTTCCCGCCTCCGCTAACCGGCCTGCAAAGGAGCAAGTTGCCGTAATGGGGCGGCGGGGGGGGGGAAGCGGGTGAAAGAGAGCGAAGCGCTTCCCGCTCCTCCCTTTCCACACACGTGTTAGCGCCGAGAGAGGGAGAGAGAGAGAGTGACTGGCGCTGCGAGTCGCTCAGCCGCCCTGGCCGAGCCAGAAGCGGCTTTTTCTGAAGAAGGAGGCTGTTGCAGCGCTGTGACATTTGCAGCCGGTAAACAACTCTCCGGCCAAAGGAAATGACCCGCAAAAGAAACAACCCAGGGCCTCCACACAATCGCCTCTCAGAAGACCCAGATTCGTTTCCAAGGGGCTGCGCGCGTGCCATTTTACTTGGGATTTTGGCTTTGCTAAAGAAAAAAGGCAAGGGGGCGGCGAGGATGTTTTCCAAATCGGGCTTTTCCTGTGCGGTTCTTCATTGGGCTCGTTCATGGGCAACTCGCTTTTATTTTCCCTCCATTCTTGCCTTTTCTTTAGTAGGAGGAGGAAGGGGGGGGGGGAACTAACGGAAAGTTGGAGCGGCTGAACTTTTCCCCTTTCCGCCGATAGTGCTAGCATTACCCAGGCACTTCCTACTTGATCAAGTGATTCATCTGGGGTGGCGCCTCTGTTTGCGAAACGAACGGGGCATTCCCCACCTACTGTCCAACCGGAGGTAAAGTCTTTTAGAAGCGACTTTATATCCCCTTGGCAGACCAGGGAACTGCAAACAGGTGATCTGGCCCGGAAAAGAATTCGGGGGTTCTTTTTTGGATCCCAGCATGGTAACCAAGTGGGTTTCTGGAGGACATAATCCTTACTCTTCCCCATGCTTACACGAGTGAGGTCTTTCTGCTCCTTTTTTGCAAGTTGCTGTTTTGGTCTGACCTTGTTAACTAGAAAGCTGAGTGCCCAGTTAGTTGGTGACAGTGGAGTGTGAACTTCTGCTTCAGCTCCTGCCCACCTAGCAGTTGGAAAGCATGCAAATGTGAATAGATTAATAGGTACCACCTTGGTGGAGAGGTAACAGCAACATTCCTTGCACTATTGGCATACGCTGGCATGCGCGGCTGCTTCCCTTAGCCAAGAAACAGAAATGACCTTCTACCCACTTAAGTCAGACATGACTGGACAGGGAAGCCCTTTAAGACTAGTTTTAGCTGTGGTAGCATTTTTTTTAAAAAAAAAAAAAGTATGGCATGTTGCCCTACACATTCGGTTAGAATTCCACTTGGAACTATTGCATTTATAAAACTATAAATATATTCCAAATACTGATCCCTTTTGTCCTGAAGAATAAATTTTCTTACACACTGGTTGTTATAATGTGTCGTACATAACTGACTCTAACCACTTTTAGTTAATGTAGAATCCTAAATATCAAATGCTGTTTTTTTTTTTTAAAAAAGGTGGGGGGGTAGAATGAACTGTTGCCTGCATACCATGTTTTTAAAGTGGCCAAAGGCGTTTGTGTAATTAATGTTGAAACTGCAGGATCCAATCTGGGTCAGTCACAAGGACCAGAAGTTTTGCCTTTCTGAGATTTCGGACTCATGCTGGAGGCCATCTTCTCTATAGCCTAGAGAGAAGTTCCCTGAATATGGGCTGCAGCACGAGTCCGAAAGCTAAGAAGACAAAATCTCTGATCCCAACCCAGATTGAATCCTGCAACATTATCCTGGGACAGGTATATTCAGCTTCATTCGTGAATGTCGTAACTGAATGTAATGCCATAAGAAATCCATGTATGGCCTACAGCTAGTATGTGTTAACCCAGATCCTGGAAACAATTCCACTATATTTGCATCTAATTTATAATCAGCATACTGTGCTACCTTATTCAAATAATTTGCATTTTAATGCCTACATACAAAGGTAAAACTGAAAATGTTTTCATCTGTTTGTTTAATAACTTTCTGGAACCAGATATACCAAAAATTAAAGGATGAAACTCAGCATTCCTTAGACAAATGAAAATATAACAACTAAAAGCATGAGATATTCTGGGCAGCCTTTAAAAAGCTCTTTTAGAGAAAAGAGCCTCAGGCACTTCTGAGATGTCTTTAACAATTTGTATTCGGGTTTTTTAAAATAATTGTACAGGTTGAGCTGCTATTTTGGGAACGCAGTTTCAAGCGAACATACAGATCTGCGGTCTCAAAGGGACTGGCTTTAGGTCATGAGCCCATAAACCAACACGTGATCTTTTCATAAGGAAATTCAAAGTACTTTTTCGTCAGCCTTAAGCAACACAAATCAGACCAGATAAATGTTTTCAAGCCTGACCTTTTGAAAGGACCTTATGTATTTAAATAGGGATAAACCGTTGAACATCTGAAATATAATATTTCTATTTGTATCCTGGTTTTTTTCTTCTAAGGGGGGGTCATGTCCAATATCAGCCCACTTTTAATTTGGCTGCAATATTTGGTGAATAACAAACCTATTTAGAAAGACATGGTTAGCTAAGATTCACCAGGCACCCAACTTACATATCCAGGCCTAAGTATGGTTACTCAGAAGGACATCCAAGCATAATTTCTTTCTCTTGGTGCCTTTAAAACAATGAGTTAAACTCGGAGTCTTCCTAAATAGGCCTACTCTGGACAGTTATAATAAAAGGAAGATATTATTTTTGCCAGTTATTTCTAAAACTTCAGTGTTTCCAGAAGGTTTCTCTGCATCAGTATGTGAGGGAGAGGGAGAAGATTAGGGGATTGCTATGGGAGAGACAGAATTTAAGAGTATATTGTGCCCTCTTTTGCCACTGGAAGAGACCAGAGAAATTTTCTTACAAATGGAAAATAGCAATAGCACTTATATACCGATTCACAGTGCTTTACAGTACTCTCTGAGTGGTTTACAGAGTCAGGATATTGCCCCCAATAATCTGGGTTCTCGTACCGACCTTGGAAGGATGGAAGGCTGAGTCAACCTTGAGCCATGTCAGAATCAAACTCCTGGCTGTGGGCAGAATCTGGCTACAGGAACTGTGTTCTAAACCACTCTGCCACCAGGGATCTGTGGTTAAAGAGAAGAAACTCTTCTGTTTTGACAACTTTAGTTTGGTTGGTCACAAAACTGGTATAAGGTATCACAGTGATGGCGAACCTTTTAGATCCTGAGTGCCCAAACTGTGTGCACATGCCCAAACTGAAAGAACATGCATGTACGGACATGCGCATGTGGACATGCACATGCACACACCTTTCCATTTGGGTATGTGCAAGCACACAGTTTGGGCATTGGGTCTAAAAGGTTTGCCATCACTGGCATATGTGGGGACATGCATGCAAATATGTGCACCTGCGGACATGCGCATGTGCATGCGCAGACATTGCATGCACGCAGCAGAGACCCAAAGACCAGCTGGCCTGCGGGGCATCCCAACTCTGGCAGGGCAGCAAGAGGTACAGTCTTTTTCTTTCATTTTGTTTCATTGTTTGCAAGGAAACAGAAGCTCACAAAAGAAGCGCCATGGAGATCTTATCTGGGGCGAGGGGGCACGTGCCAGCAGAGAGGGCTCTGCATGCCACCTGTAGCACACGTACCATAGGTTTGTCATCCCAGAGGTATCAAATCAATTGGCTATTCCTTGAGTGTTATATAATTGGGTCGGGTCTGGTCTGGTCTTTGACTGTAATAAACTTGATTTTTGATTTGGTATAAGGTAGGCACAATGATCCAGTGTGGGGAGCTCCAAATTAATTTCTCGCAGAATGAGAGAAATCCAATCCATTTATTATTACTGCAGCAATAAAATAGCATGGACCCAAGTGTTAAATGTTCAAAGAGGAGAAACAGTTGTTTGGAACTTGATACATACGTATGTCATTTTGCCTATCACATAATATATGAGTGGGGATGCAGTTATAATAAATTATAATCGCATAGGAAATGTGTTTTTAGGGACCTTTTGTGATAAGGCAACAATAGTTCACCAGGCTAATCACCCAACCAGTTTTATCTGGTTCTGGCTATCAGTCTTAGTTTTATAAGCTTTTTCTGCTCAGCAATACCTGGTATAGGCCATCAGTTTAGTAATCCTCCATCAGTCTAACCACTTTCTGTATCTGATAAGGTGAGTTGCAGCTCAGGAAAGCTTATGCACTTTAATAAAATGTGCTAGTTGGAAAAGGACTCCTGCTTTTTTTGAATAGAATAACACTAATGTTTAGCTGGATTGTATCCAGAGTACAGTTTCCAAGCAACAGCATTGTGTAGGATAGTAATTAAGACCTGCTGTGTTCCCAGGCCTGGGGTTAGGGTGTCTGTGAGCCCCTCTCAAATCTTTTTTTCAGTGTTGGGAAATGCTGTTTCAGTCAGGGAAGCCTCGGTGTTCTAGTTGTTGTTTTTTTAATTTAGGTATTCCACATATTGAAAGCTGCCTGTAATTGTCCTAGAGTTAGGTAGCTTTAACAAATCTTATAAATAAAATTATGACAATTCCCTACCCTTTCTGCCCATAATCACTTTGGCTGCACTCCCTCCTTATCTCGGTAGGAAGAACATTCTCCCTAGCTAGCAATCAAGATAATGGTTTACATTAGAACAAAATTGAATGTAAGCGAAATACAACGCTCCACCCTGTCAAAATATCATTATGCAACAAGATCATAATTCCTGTTCAAACAATTATATTTTTATCCTCATTTCTAACAGGTTGAGCAGCCCAGGAATATCATGCCAACAAAACTAAGATCCGTTCTTGACTGCTCATATTCCAGCTTACTCGATTTCAGATGCAGTGGATAAAATCTGGGTATACTTGGTATGTTTCTTTGCCTGCATGTGTAAAATTCATAAAAATAAGAAACATGTGCAAGGATTACATCCCATTCAAATGTGACATTCTTTAATAAAAACTATCCAACCTTCATTACTGCATTAAATTGGTGGTTTACTATAACTCAAAAAGGCATTCTGTTTTATGCTTTCCCAATTGCCTTTGCAATCTTTAATCCTGGGTTTTTCAAAACAGGTGCAGATGCAGCAGTTCAATGGCTTAAAGATGCTGGAGATGTTCTTTGCTCTGGCGGTTCGAGTCCTACACTACATGGTGGCGTGAGCTCCCATCACTTGCCTCAACCTCTGCACATCTGGCAGTTCGAAAGCATACTACATGCAAGTAGATAAATAGGTATCACTTCGGTGGGAAATGTGGCAGTGTTTTCTTGTGTAAGTTTGGACCCTGCTGGACCTGCCCGAATATGACACCCAACTGCAATGGTGAGAGAAGGCCACAGATGGCACCACAGGAACTTGTTTGCCCCCTGTGATGCATCTTGGATATGCACACGAGTGTGAACTAAAAGGACTAATACTCTTCCACAGTCAAATAACTGCTATATAGTAACATTGTAACCTTTTAGCTAATTGTACCATTGCCAAACACTAAATACCCTGTTTCCCTGAAAATAAGACCTCCCCGGATAATAAGACAAATCGGGCTTTTGAGTGCATGTGCTAAAATAATCACTCCCCTGAAAATAAGACCCCCCCAAATATTGCAACGCAGCAGCAGCCATGAGGTGACTACGCTCGCTGCCTCCTGCACCTCAAAAATAATAACACCTCCCTGAAAATAAGGTCAAGTGCTTATTTTGAGGGTCAAAAGAAAATAAGACCCTGTCTTATTTTCAAGGAAACACGGTATATAACAAACCATCAAACAAGGTTCTGCCAGAACAGGATCATGTTCTGTGAGACATTAGAGACAAAAAAAAAATCATTACAAAAAGTTGCTACACACAGCCAAGGGCTCTCATAGAAATTTGTCTGAGGTACCTCAGCCATTTAAAAATGCCATGGCCACCAGTTTCCTTGTGCCCAATCTGCCTTCTGCAAATTAGCCCTGCCACTCACTGCTTCCCTCTGAAGGAAAGGTTTGGATTTTGGGTGGACAGGAATTTCCCTTCTTAATTATCCTTTTTTTAAGGGAAGTGAGGTGGCAATTAACCAATTTTCTCTCATGAGGGCTTTGCCTATTGACTAGGGACTTAAAAAAAACAGGTTTGGCAGCCTAAGAAACTCTGAAAAGTCCTGCTTTAGTCAGTGTAAAGGTGAAAGCTGCAGGTTTAGCTTACTGATGTCTGTCCTGATCTGTTGTGCAGCTCTGAAACTAAAAGAATTCCAATGTAAAAAGAAGGTGGCACTCTAAAGGTGTATAAAAGATTTGCAAGTTGAAATGAGTTACAGTGGATGGTTCCAGCCATTCTGGAAGATTTTCCAACTTAAAAACTTCTTTTTGAACCTGGAGCAGATGATTCAAGCTAAGATTTGGTTTGTTTCAAACTGGGAATATTTGCAGAATGATCAGAATACAGTAAATTTTGATCATTAAAATTTCAATTTTGATTTATGAGCCGTGGTGGTGCAAGCGGTTAGAGTGCAATACTGCAGGCTACTTCTGCTGACTGCCAGCTGATTGCAGTTTGGCAGTTCAAATCTCACCAGGCTCAAGGTTGACTCAGCCTTCCATCCTTCCGAGGTCAGTAAAATGATCATCCAGATTGTTGGGGGCAATAGGCTGACTCTGTAAACTGCTTAGAGAGGGCTGTAAAGCACTTTGAAGCAGTAAATAAGTCTAAGTTGCTATTGCTATCCCGTGACCATGAAGATGCTGCAGAAGTCATAAGTGAGTAGTCATAAGGCACTTTTTCTAGTGCTACTGTAACTTCAAGCAATCACTTATAAATTGTTATAAGTTGAGATATATATTTAGCCTAAAGTCAGATCAATGAATTCAAACTCTAATATGACCATCCTATGTACCAGAAAGTAACCTCAATGAAACTTTTTTCTAAAAAGGTATGTTTACTGTGAGACTGTAACACACTGCAGTTTTTTTCAGCACTGAGAAGATTTAATGCACAAAGAACATAAATTAATTGTTTAAATGAAAATGCAATTTATATTACCATAATATACTATAGTTAAGTTAATGCATGGTATATATTATGGTAATATAATATATACCATTACTAATATGATCAATATTGAATTCATGTGCCCTTTCTGTTTTACTCTGGTCATTCTTATACTGTGAGATAATTCCCAGAATTTATCAGCATATGATTTTGATAAGACTTTTTTGCTTTACACCATGCCTAAATATATTACAATAAATATTAGCTATAAATACCTCTTAACTAATTGTATTGTGTGCATGATATTTTGTCAAGCCTCAACAGAGAAAATAAATGAATACATATATATGCCGTGCAGAGATGATATTCAGCCAGTTCGCACTGGTTCATGCGAACCATTGGCGGAAATTTGGCCAAGGTTGGCAAACTGGTAGTGACGGTGGCTGGCCATGCCCCCAACAGGTCGCCTAGTTACCGCTCACTCCCCTTGCCCACCAGCTTGACGCTCCCTCACTCGCCCTGCCCATCCGAGCCCTATATATGCCGTCACTTCATCAGATGGACCAGCTACATGCCTCGCCAGTCACCTACATGCCTCACCTGCTCTATTCTGCTCACCAAAGGTACGTAAGCATGCTGCCTGCTTGCCCTAGGTCAGGGCGAAAGTGGGGCAGGGGTAGATAGATAGACATTTCAAAAATTTTCCTACCTTTTCCTGTGGACATGGGCGTGAGTAATGTCAAGTTGGCCACGCCCACTCAGTCACATGTCACCCACTTAGCCACGACCACTGAACCGGTAGCGAAAATTTTTGAAACCCACCATTGATGCTGTAGGAGGAGGTTGTATTTTGTATTAAATTCTGACACTTTCTTTAGGATGCATCAAAATCCTATAACATTCTGCTGAAGAAGAAAAGAAGACTCCCTCACTCGTCTTTTGTGACCAATGTCAACACTTTGATTTGGATGCCATTGTTAGTAGAAGATGCAGTTGATGTTATTTTAGCTCTTCTTTACCAATAAGAATGGATACTTTCCTAACCATATTTTCTAAAAATTTGCATAGGACTTTTAATTGCTAGAGTCCCACCCTTATAAAACTGAACGAGAAGAGATAGAAAAAGGTGATGGTGAACCTCTATTTACAGAAATAATTCTACCATGTGTAAAATAAGAGGTGATATGAACTTTCTCCAAAAGTACTTTTTTGGGGAAAATGTTTACATTTTGATGCTCCCTCAGTACCATATATTATTGAATACAGTTGGAAGTGAGAGTAACATATATGCCGCCTTGGATGTAAAAGATGATATATAACTCAAATAAATAATAATTGCTTTTCAATTTTGTATCATGCCTAGTTAAACTAGATAAAAAAATGGTTTGTATATAATTGATAACTGGATAAGCAGTGTGAATCCCTATTAGTTTCTTTCGAGGAGACTCACTATCATCACTATTTTTTGTCATTGCACTGATTCTTCTGTCAACAAACTGAACAAGTCAGCCATGGGTTTGAAACATAAAAAACTTCTGTGAGATTATTTCTCCTTGTTTATATGATCTGAAGCTGTATGGAAAAACACCATCTGAAATAGAATAGCTGTTCAACAACTGCCTGTACATACAGCCAATATATTGCAAGGGAGTTTGGACTGGACAAATGTGCATTGTTTACTATCGAACAGGGAAAAATAGTGAAAACTAAAGGAATCAAGATGCCCTATGAAAATAGAATCAAAGAGACTGAAGGGAGACAATAACTACAAATATCTGGGCATCCTTCAAGCAAATAACACCAAGCATGCTGAAGTTAAAAAAAAATGAAGGTGATCTTAAAAGTCCAAACTTAGAAGAGGAAATATCATCAAGTAATGTTGATAGACTCTACTTACCAAGAGAAATAAGGTGGGTGGGGAATGTTGCAAGTACACCAAACAGTTGAAGAAAAAAAAGGGAGGCATTGGAAGGATAGTGAAGAAGGTGCACTGACGTAGTATATCATGAAGGTCTAGTGTAACTAGGAGACCAAACTGACTTGCAAGAAAGACCAAATGAAGAACAGAAGAGAGATGGCAAGGCAGAGTATTACATTGCAAATACATTAAAAGAAATTGGCAGTCAAAACAGATAACAAGATCTGGCAATGGCTAAGAGCAAAAAAAATATATGAAGAAAGAGACAGAGCAGTAGTTCTAGGTGCACAAGACCAAGCCTTAAGAACAAATGCATAGAATTGAGAAGACAGCAACAGATAGGAAATACCACGTCTGCAAAAAAAGATGAAGGAATAGTGGATCACTTAGTTAGCTGCTGCAGGAAGATTGAACACACTGACAACAAATAATGGCATGACAAAGTAGCACAAATACTGCATTGGAAGCTCTACAAAAAATACCCTTTGACTGCAAGGAAAAATTGGCAGGACCATACAAAACAGACAGTAATAAAAAATAAAGAAACTAAAGTGCTTTGGGGCTTTAGAATTCAAAGAGACCGACATCTGCCTATATAATACCCCAGACTTTATAATTGTCCATAAGAAAGACAAATCTGGATAATGAATGTTTATTTTTCTTCTTGTTATCTGCTTTGACTGCCAATTTATTTTTATGTATTTGCAATGTAATACTCTCTGCCTTGCCATCTCTCTTTTCTGTTCTTCATTTGGTCTTTCTTGAAAGCCAGTTTGGTCTCCTAGTTACACTAGGCCTTCATGATATACTACGTCAGTGCACCTTCTTCACTATCCTTCAGATATCCTTCCAATGCCTCCCTTTTTTTTTCTTCAACTGTTTATTTCCCACCCACTTATTTCCCTTAGTTAGTAGAGTCTATCAACATTACTGCAAGAATAAAGGGCATGATTGATTGTCATTATTTTTCTGATCTTTGTAGTCAGGGCTTTTAGTTCTGTTTGAGTCCAGTCCGTTATTCCAGCTATGCATCTAATGGCCAGGTATTAATTGCCTTGATATTTCCTCTACTAAGTTTGGACTTAAAGATCACCTTCCTTTTTTTTTTTTTTACTTCAGCATGCTTGGTGTTGTTTTCTTGAAGGATCCCTAGATATTTATAGTGATTGTCTCCATCCAGACTTTTTGATGCTATTTTCATAGGGAATCTTGATTCCTTTAGTTTTCACTATTTTTCTTTGTTTAATAGTAAGCAAGGCACATTTGTCCAGTCCAAACTCCCTTGCAATATCTTGGCTGTATGTACAGACAGCTGTTGAACAGCTATTCTATTTCAGATTGTATTTTTCCATTCAGCTTCAGATCATCCATATAAACAAGGTGAAATAGTCTCGAATAAGTTTTTAATGTTTGAAAGCGTCTTTTTTGGCCTGTAGGTTTTGGCACAAGAAGCCTCCCAGCTACCGCCTCTTTGCCAGCTAGAACCGAGCTGGCAGTGGTGGCTGCAGGCTTCTTGCACCAAAAACTATTGACCTCCGCTTCTCGAAACACACCAAAAAGAGCTTCAGTCCCACCACCATCACCGCCCTGTTCTTCCAACGCAGCAGGCATGGAGCAAGAAGCCTGCAGCCGGTGCTGCCAGCTTGATTCCAGCTGGCAAAGAGGCGGCGGCTGGGAGGC